CACATTTTACCAACTTGCTTGCAAGAATGTCATGGGGAACCTTGTCATTTACTTTTGAGTTGTTCTTGCGGTCTGAAATATAATGAGAGGCTACAGTCAAGAGTGCCTATTTGGTGATGGCACTTGGACTCTGTGATGCTGTCCCATATCAGGAGAAAAGTGGAGTATGCAGTAAAATGAATATGTTTAATTTTGCTACTGAATACAGTAGCTTTGTATTTTTACTCAGCTTAAAAACAAATCTGTATTGCTTATACCAGGGGTCAGCAACCTTCCCTCACCTGGGACCGATCCCTTCCAGCGGGCTGGGGGGGGAGATGGTGGCGTGCGCGCTTATGCGCGCGCGCGTGACCCCCGCCGCCATTTTGTTTGCCAAAATGGTGGCCACGACTCGTTTGCACATACGCAGTACTCCTGCGCATGCACAAATGAGGTGCGGCTGCCATTTTGGCAAACAAAATGGCAGCCACAATGTGCGCGGCTGCGCGGTGACCATAATGCATGGCGGAGGTGGAGGCAGTGGCCGGTAAGCGGGGGTCCGTGGGCCGGATGCTGCCTACAGACCGTAGGTTGCCGAACCCAGGCTTATACAGTTGTCCCTCCACATTTGCTGGGGTTAGGGGTGAAGGACCCCCCATGAATGTGCAAAACCTGCAAATTATTATTGTACCTAAGACAACACCTCTATAGGAATTTTCAGGTCCTCCTGTGCAACTCTATGGTCAACACCTGTCAGAGCTTGATCATAGAATCAAGATGGAAGACCTACAAATGCCTAGAAACGTCTAGGTTCTCCAGCACAACTCTATGGTCAACGTCTGGCAGAGTGGCACTGGAGGATCCTAGAGATTCCTGGAGAGACCATATTAATAAAAACCGCAAATGCTTAAAGCCACAAAAGTCAAAGCCACAAGTGTGGAGGGCCAACTGTACTGTTTTTAGTTCTGCTTATTGTTTTTACTCTTCTGTATGTCAGTGTTTGAGCCAGTGTGGCATAGCGGTTTGAACGCTAGACTATGACTCTGGAGAACAGAGTTTGAATCACAGCTCAGCCATGTAAAAACCCACTGAGTGACCTGAGGCAAATCATACTCTCTCAGCCTCAGAGGGTGGCAACGGCAAACTCCCTCTGAAGAAACTTTCCAAAAAAAACCTGTAATTGGTTTGCTTTGTGGTCAGCATAAGTTGGAAACAACCTGAAAGGACACAACAACAACAACGTCAAAGTTACTGTACATTTTGTTTCTTTGTATGACGTATTGGAAACCTGTGGAAAAGCACGATGTAATCAAATAACAGAATATTGTATGTAGATATTGTGTTCATCTCCCACTTCTTCCAGGGAGGTCAGTGTTGTTTTGTCTATCTCATTTATGTCTTTACAAAAGTGGTATTGCACATTAAGTGATATTATCTGACCCACTGTCTGTCAGTGAGCTTTGTGGCAAATAATGGGAGTTGAGCTCTGTAGTGAATTTCCACACAATAGCTTTTGCGTTGATTTCTCATTCCAGTAGCATGTTTTTCTGTCTCCAACAGTAGCAAGTGTTACCAGATTTTCTATTGAAAGCCACGTTATTTTGAAGATAGGGACTCCATGCTTGTAGTAAATCAGGTAAAGCCTAATGTGGGCACACCCAGTGGCGTCACTAAGATTGGTGTCACCCGGCGCAGTAACTCATGGTGTCACACCCCCTCCGTCAACCTCCTCCCATACCACACCATACAGAATCCTTAGGAGTGTTTTTGTACTGATGTTACTCATAAACCGTAATTCCTATATATCACTGAATGTAATGGCAATAGTTGCGACATAATCAACTAGCAAAATTAAAATTATACCCTTTAAATTACAATATCATACGCACAGCCTAAATGTATTAACATGTACATAGTTTTATATGGTTAAAAGTGAAAATATGGTAAGATGTAATGTTGTTAAATAATATTTTAAAATATTTTTAAATTAAATTTTTAATTTTAATTTTTTTAAAAAACTGAAGCCTCTCTCTTCCCACTGAACCTCATCCCACTCACCTCATCTCTTCTGCTGAGCTCCAGCATTATAAAGGGATGCAAGCAAATGCCACAGCCTGTTTCTGCCAAAAGGCAAATGTTTGGGGAGCTGTGGTGTCACCCCCCCTTTGGGCATCACCTGGTGTGGCCCACAGTCCCTAGTGATGCCCCTTTGCCCCCACAGTCCAGTAAGCCACTGAACAGATCACTCTGATTGGAGTTTGAACTGATCACTTGAAGAGCTCTCTTGAAATTAGGCTGAGGGCTCCAAGTTTTTTCCTCCAGGTAAATGTATTTTTATTTGAAATTGTAGCTAATGACAAAACATAGAAACATTGGACTAAACAAATTAATTAAGGATAATAACAATATAATGTAGCAAAGAAAAATAAAAAGGTAATAATATGAATATGGGGAAAAGGTACATGTAGGCCAAGACAACAATACAGTTGCTTGAATTTCATTTTGAGAAGTTAATTAAAAAAAAACTCATATAATGACCAGAGTATGAAGATATACACTTGAACACTAAAATTAGACTTGTTTAAGCCATTGTATTCCCTATTACCATGTATGGCTGTGAGAGACGGACAGTGAAGAAAGCAGAAGGAAGAAAATTACAGTCGCCCCTCCGTTGTCGTGGACTTCAAGTCCTCGGTTTTACATATTCACAGAGGGGTAACCTCCATTAAAATCAATGGGGTGCGCCCCATTCAAGCCTATGGGGCCTGAATACTCACTAATCACTGTTTTCATGGGGGGGGGGTCCTAATCGGATCCCCTACAAAAACGGAGGGCCAACTCTATTTCATTTGAGATGGGATGCTGGAGAAGAGTGCATGGAGAGCCAAAATGAAAAAGAAATCAGTCCTAAAGCAAATGATGCCAGAAATCTCTCTGGAAGCCAAGATGACCAAACTGAGGTGGTTGTACTTTGGCCACATCATGAGGAGGCAACGCTCATTAGAAAAGACAATGATGCTGGGGAAGGTGGAAGGAAGTAGAAAGAGAAGAAGACCACATGCCAGATGGATAGATTCAATCAAGGAAACCATGGGCCTAAGCCTGCAAGACCTGAGCAGTGAGGGAGAGGATAGCGGGGCTCGGAGATGTCTCATTCATAGAGTTGCCATGAGTTGAGATCGACTCAAAAGCAGCTAACAAAACAGTGACCAGAGGAAGGCAAGGGGAAATCTCTGAACAAGTTCTACCAAAAAAACCCAAAACCCTCAGTGTCACCATAAGTTAGAAATGGCTTGAAGGATGCAACAACAACAATGATTAAAACAGGTATTTGAAGAAGCTGGGCAATGGGGAGAAGAGTCTTTGTAAACAAATGAAATAAAAGGCCACCAGATTTGCCTCCAATGTGTATTACTTTTTTCTCTCTCTCCATGCTTCTATAAGTTGGGAAGTCATTTTTAATAGCAGAGGACAATTCCAAATTCTGTCCATCCAGTTTCTGAAAATTAGAGCTTTTATATCTTTCCATCTTTTAGTGACTTCCAACCAACAGTGGTTGAGGACCTCAATTTGACCATCTTTGCTGTAAAAGTATGTAGTGCTATGCATAGCTTTCAGCTCAGAAATAAAATGGAAGGGATGTGCTGTATAGAATCATAGAATCATAGAATCATAGAGTTGGAAGAGACCACAAGGGCCATCCAGTCCAACCCCCTGCTATGCAGTAACTCCCAATCAAAGCATCCCTGACAGATGGCCATCCAGCCTTCAAACCTTCGGAGAACAAAAGGAGAAGGAGAAGGAGAATAGTAAAGGAAAATGTCAACAAATTCTCAGCAAGTGAAGAACAACACATTTTTGCTGCAGGATAGGGATGCTACCTCTGTTGAAAGTTATGATAGAAAAGTGTTCAGTTTTCATAAAAAATATAATTTCTTAAATTCAGAAAATAGTGCACTCTGTACACAGAAGTCTCAAATGCAGTAGATTTGCTACCTGGTAATTTGGGGAGAGAATTTACATTTTGTTAATGCCAACATATTGTAATTTGATATGTAATAGAGTGATCACCATAACAACATGTTTTGGGAAAGATCTAGATAAATGAATAACAGCAAATGGGAAGGAGGGTGATAAAATTAGTGTTGAATGCTAATGGTTTGCTTCAGTGTACATAAGACCACTTGCAAAATGCATATGGCAACTCTTTGTAAGTGTCCATCCCTATATGAGCTTCCATGCTGAATGGGAAATTGAACTCAGCTCTGTTGAGTCAGCAGTAGCTCCTGCATTTGACTCTGGCTCATATTTTGACTTTTAGGTTTATGCAAAACTGTCTTCTTAGTGCTGGCTCCCAGATTTTGGAACTCCCTCATTAGAGAGGCTAAGATTGTGCCCTCCTTGGTGTCCTTCTGTCAGCAAATGAAAACTCCTTTTCCAACAGGCTTTTAGGAATTGACTGCAACGGGCTTTAAATAATGGGCTGTCTTGTTGATTTTTATCTTCTGTTCTGAATGGATTTTAATGGTTTGTCTTCTTCAGATTGCTTAATAGTAGTTTAAATGAACTTTTATTATGTATTACTGATCTTTTGTATGCATTTTAATATTTAAAAAAATATTTTGTGAAACTGCTTTGAATCCAATTATTGGGAAAAAGGCAGGATATAAATGAACCAAATATAGCTCTCTAGCAGACAGGGCAAAAGGAGCAGCCAGAGGCCTTTGTCTGATTAATTTATATCCTGCAGGACCACAGCGACCAGAAGCCACAGTCCTGAGGCCAGCCGCTGCCAAAATCCCTTTTGCAACTGGGTTTGGGCCACCCTGGTGCAGCTTCCATGCAGATTGGGACCAGAGCTTGGACAGAAAAGGCTAAATGTCTCACAAAACTGCAAATCCCAAGACTCTGTGGCACTTAAAATGGTGTCAAATTGGGGTATTTCTGCAGTGCAGATGCAGCCTCAGTGAAAATAGTTGTGTCTGTGCAATAAAACATGACTGCATCTCACATCAGGATCTGCCAGCATGGATCATTGGTGATAAACATCAGAGGCTAACCTGTTGATTACTGGATTAGGAACTAATTTATTTATTTTATTTAAGATATCTTTATATTGTCTCCCAGCCCACAAGAGCTCCCAAAGTGATGAACAAATAACGACAAGAATGGTCATCTCATTCTTTCCCATGGAATCTGGCTGACCATCACTGGAAGCAGAATGTTGGGTTAAGACTTCTATCTCAGCTAGCAATGGATTTTTAATGATGCTGTCTCTGAACTAAACATAATAAAAGACTTTATTTATCTTATCAGATTGGTGAGTGAATGGATGAGAAGGATTACAAAGTGTATCGAACGTTGATGATAGCACATTGATTCCTGTCCAAAAAATATTGCATGTGTAGGTTATGGACCAAAGTCAACCAGTTTCACATCCTGAGATGTTAACATTTTATGGCTGATAGTCATTCACATCTTTTTAACAAGAAGAAAAATTACCACTTGAGAATTTTACTCCATTAGAATGATTGTCCCAAATGATACAGCCTGGACAAAACATGCAGGAACAACATTCAATATCTGAAACTCAGAAACTGGAATAAAAAAACTACTTTGATGCCATATATCAGACTTGGACAGTAGATAGTAGGTATCAAGCTAATTTGCAGTGGAATGGCAAAGAAGTTTCAGTCCCAGTTGTTTAGCAGCAGCATCAAAAAAGTGACTCCCCAACTCCTTTAATTGATAGGCTTAAAATGAATAAAATTTGGAATAAATCAGTGGATTTTTTTTAATGGAAGGGCCGTGCATTCTATGTAATCCAAGCATTCATAACAGATTTTTTTTTAGCTTAAAATGCCTTAATTCTTTATGTACTTCTGCATCAAGCTCCAAATAGTGAATATTTTACATTCTAGTTTTTAAAAAGCAAGAGCTACCTAACCTGAAGTCTGCCAACCATGTAATATAAATTGCTATCTTCTCAAGGGAGAAGAAGGAAGTATAAATGGAATAAATCAAATACCCATCAAGTATGCAAGAGCTATCCACTTTTGAAATCACTAGAACCATA